TGAGCTACTGTAGACTTGATGGACTCCCACCCCGATTCCGCTCTCTTCTTTACCATGGCTTCCTTCTAATCATTGACCCTCATCCCTTAGTCCGACGTTGATGCTAACGCTCCGTCCTTGGGACTCCATTAAATATTCTGCTGGACTTATTTCTGCCCATCTACCGTTACTACGGTTGCTACACAATCCATTATTTCCCCCAGGTCGTGACAATCCTGGACAGTTTGCTTGGTGGCAAGCAAATGGCTTCCATGATATTCATTCTATGCTCTCTCCCACTCGGATACTCACCTTTGAAACTCTGTGCTCTTCTTACAATATCCCGTTGCGGGAACATTTTGGATACCTTCACTTTATCAGTACTTTAATACAGACACGTTCGGGACCCTATAGGTTGACCCCCTTTGAAAGTCAATATAGACATAGACCCCATGCTCCGGGCTTAATTTCCCTGGTCTACTTCTTTCATTATTTCCCATAGAACTCCTCAGGTCCGTTTTTATCATCAGTTTTGGCAGTCGGAACTTGGGGGCACTCTAGATCAGCAGGATTCGCGGGTCATGACGCAACAATTATCTAAATGTTCTAGGAATGTTATCATTCTAGAAAATGCCTACAAGGTTCTTTATAGATGGTATTTACACGCCTGCTCGTCTGGCTCATTTTATTCCCACATATTCCCCGACTTGTTTTCGAGGTTGTCAACAGACGGGTACCATGGTCCATATTTGGTGGTCTTGCCCCAAGGTGTGCAGATTGTGGATCAGAGTTTATGCCCTTCTTCGCACTATGTTTCACTCAGACATTAAACGCAACCGTACGAAGCGCTGTTATTTAAACCATTATTATTATTATTACATCGATTTTATATAGCGCCAAAGGGTTTGCTCAGCGCTGTACAATAGAGGGGGGGACAATACATGAAACAGTACAGCAACAACAACAGCACACAAGGGGTTAGAGGGCCCTACTCTTTCAAGCTTACAATCTAGGAGGGGGGGGGTAGTGGTACAGGAGGAAGTGGCTGTGGGGGATGGAGTGGTAGGAGGAATGAAGAACGGCTGTTAGGTGAGGGTGGGGTAGGCTTCCCTGAAGAGGTGGGTTTTCAGGGAGCGCCTGAAGGTGAAAAGGGAAGGTGACAGTCTGATGGATTGGGGTAGTGAGTTCCAGAGGATGGGGGAGGACCTGGAGAAGTCTTGCAGTCGTGCGTGGGAGGAGGAGACCAGGGAGCAAGATAGAAGGAGGTCCTGTGAAGAGAGAAGGGTACGGGTAGGGTGGTACCTGGGAATCAGGTTGGTGAGGTAGTTAGGGGCAGTGTTGTGAATGGCTTTGTAGGTCAGAGTGAATAGTTTGAATTTGATGCGTTGGGCAATAGGGAGCCAGTGGAGGGATAGGCAGAGGGGGGTGGCAGGGGGGGGTGGAGCGGCTGGTGAGGTGGATGAGTCTGGCCGCTGAGTTCAGGATGGTCTGAAGTGGGGAGAGCTTGCACTGGGGTATGCCGGTGAGGAGGGAGTTGCAGTAGTCGAGGCGTGAGATAATCAGGGAGTGTACGAGTAGTTTAGTGGTGTCTGGGGTAAGGAAGGAGCGTATCTTGGCGATGTTGCGAAGGTGGAGCCTGCATGTGTTTGTAAGTGATTTGACATGAGGTTGGAAGGAAAGGTTTGAGTCCAGAATGACGCCAAGGACTTTGGCTTGCGGGGCGGGATTGATGGTGGTGTTGTTGGTAGTGATGGTTAGGGTGGGGGGGGGGGCAAGGGGAGGGGGAAAGACGAGAAGCTCGGTTTTGGAGAGGTTAAGCTTGAGGAAATGGAGCGACATCCAGTCAGAGATGTCGTTTAGAAGGTGAGTGATGCGGGCGGAGAATGTGGGGGTGAGGTGAGGGGTGGAGAGGTAAATTTGAGTGTCATCAGCATAGAGGTGGTAGTTGAAGCCATGGGAGTGTATGAGTTTGCCAAGGGAGGAGGTGTAGATGGAGAAGAGAAAGGGGTCCAAGGACAGAGCCCTGGGGGACCCCAACAGAGAGGGGGAGGGAAGGGGAGGGTGGCATCGTTGTAGGAAACGCTGAAGGAGCGTCGGGATAGGTAAGAGGGAGAACCAGGAGAGAGCGGTGTCTCTGATGCCAAGGGGAGTAGTTATTAAGGAGGGGGGGGTGGTCAACTGTGTCGAAGGCCGCGGAGAGGTCCAGGAGAAGGAGGACAGAGTAGTCGCCTTTGGCTTTGGCGGTTAGTAGGTCGTTGCTGATTTTGAGGAGGGTGGGTTTCGGTGGAGTGTAGGGGACGGAAGCCCGACTGTAGTGGATCAAGGAGGTTGTTGTCAGTTAGGTGGACGCTTAGGCGATCGTAGACTAAGCGCTCGAGGAGCTTGGAAGTGAGTGGCAGCAGGGAGATGGGTCTGAGGTTGTAGGGGGTCAGTGGGGTCCAGGGAGGGCTTTTTGAGTATGGGGGTGATGTGCGCATGCTTCAGAGGGGTGGGGAATACGCAGATAGAGAGGGAGAGATTGAAGATGTGGGTGAGGGAGCGGATGAGGGAAGAGGGGGGTGACCGGAGGAGTTGAGAGGGGATAGGGTCCAGGGGGCAGGTAGTGAGGCGGGCTTCTGAGAAGACTCTGGTGACTTCCTCAGTGGTAGTAGGGCTGAAGGAATGCAGTGCTGGGGGGGTTACGGTAAGCGGAGCCTTGGGTGTGTGGTGGGGGGGCAGTGCGGTTGCGAGGTCAGAGGAGGGGGTGATGGGGGGGGAAGGCTAGGTGGGGAGGTAGATTGCGAGTTGATTATGTCCTTACAGATTGCGTCAATCTTGTTGTGGAAATGAGTGGCAATTTCGTGGGCGGTAAGTGAGGTACTGAGTGGAGGAGGGGGGGGGGGGGGTGGAGAGCAGGGAGTTGAAGGTGGAGAAGAATCGGCGAGGGCAGGTGGAGAGGGTGTTGATCAAGTTAACAAAGTAGGCCTGCTTGGCGGTGTGGAGGGAGGAGGTGTAGGTGAGGAAGGCAGATTTGTAGAGGGAGAACGCATGAGGGGACCTGGTTTTGCGCCATAGTCTCTCCAGTGCGCGACTGCGACGTTTGAGGCATTTAGTATGGTCGTTCTGCCATGGTTGGAGCGGTCTAGGTTTGATGTTGCGTGTGGTTAGGGGTGCCAGAGAGTCTAGGGTAGCTGATAGTGAGTCGTTGTACGCGGGTGGTGGCTAGGTCAGGACATGACAGTGGAAGGATGCTGTCGTGTAGGCAGTCGGCAGTCGAGTGGAGGGGGGCCGGGTTCAGGTTGCGGAGGTTGTGGCTGGTGATGGTTTGGCACTCTGGGGGGGGGGAGTTTAAGGGAAGGGGAGATGGGGAACATGAGGAGGTGGTGGTCGGAGAGAGGTAAGGGGGTGTTAGTGAAATGGTTGAGGGTACAGAGGTGGGAGAAGACGAGGTCCAGGGTGTTCCCATTGATGTGGGTGGAGCACTGAGTGTACTGTGAGCGCGAAGGAGGAGGTTAGGTGGAGGAGTTGGGAAGTAGCCAGGTTGTTGTCGTTGATGGGGATATTGAAGTCCCCAAGGATGATGGTCGGTAGCTCAGAGGAGAGGAAGAAAGGAAGCCAGGCGGCGAAGTCATCCAGGAAGCAGGGTATGGATCCGGGGGGCCTGTAGATCACTGCGATCCTTAGGGGGGTGGGGGTGAAGAGCCGGATGCAGTGAGCCTCGAAGGAGGAGAAGGATAGGGAGGGGGGGGTTAGGGAGGACCTGGAAGGTGCTCAGCGGTGATAGGAGCAAGCCGGCACCACCACCTCTGTGACCGCTCAGTCTTGGTGAATGGGACCAGACGAGACCTCCATGGGAGAGTGCCGCAGGGGAGGTAGAGTCAGTGGCCTGTACCCAGGTTTCGGTGATGGCTAGGAGGTTGAGGGAGTGGGAGAGATAAAAAAGTCATGGATGGCGGTAAGCTTGTTGCAGACCGAGCGGGCGTTCAGGAGTGCAACCGAGAGAGGGGGGGATGGATGCGGGGAGGAGGGGCACAGGTATGAGGTTGAGGGGGTTGCGGCAGCTGGCGAGAGCAGGGGGGACCCTAGAGGGGGGGTGAGGTGGGTGAGGGGCCAGGATTCGGGGAGATGTCCCCAGCGAATAGAAGGAGAAGGGTGAGGAAGGTGGCATGGGAATGGGAAGTGCAGGAGCGTGTGGGTCTGATAGTGGTGGCACGTGGGTCGATGGGGGAGTGGAGTAGCAGGAGAAGGTGGTGAGTGCCGTAGTGGGGAGAGGGGAGAAGTGAAGGGGCAATGTAGAGCTGTTTTGAGGGGGTAGGCGGGTAGAGGGAGGCGATTTTTGGGATGGAGGAGAGGAAAACGAGGAGGAGGAGTGCAGGTGGCATGTTGGGGTGAGTGGAGTGCTGGTCGGGTCGGTTCCTGGTGGTCAGGGATGGACTCAGGGCTAGTGAGGAGGGCTCTGGGGAGGCTGGCAGGTCAGTGGGGATCGGGGGGGGACGGAGCGGCGGTGGCCCGGGCCAATTCCTGGCAATCCGGTTCGGCCGTGACTGAAATCGAGGCCACGGCTTCGGGTGCGGGGTAGGCCGCAAGTCCCGGAGCTCTGGGAAAAAGGTCCAGTGGCCTTCCCTGGCCGACGAGCAGGGACTGGAGAGTCGTGAGGGCCCTGCTAGGGTCTGCTGCCGCCCAGATGGCAGCGGATTGGGGCCAGGGGTGCAGGAGCTCGCCGCCACACGTCCGGTCCGCCGGATGTCTGGAAATACTATTAGTGGGCCTACTTCATCCTGAATGGCAGTTAGCATCGCACTTGTTCATGGCCACCAAGCTGACGATTGCAAGAGCTTGGAAGACTCCCCTCCTCAGCTTCGAGGCTGTCAAAAACCGGATGAACTTTATAATGGTCAATGAAAAGTTTGTTAGCTATACTGTTAGACACCCATACAAAATTTTTACAGACATGGCATCCTTGGCTTGATATAGCTCAACCGTCAATATTCAACCAGTCCCTCTTGTCGATATAAAACTTATATATCAGCTTATTTTTTCACCTTTGGTATAATTCTTTTCTCTGCCGTGGTCCCCTGGAGCCCCCCCCTTTTTTGTTTTTTGGTTGTCTCTTTGTTTGTCTTCTTTCTCTTCTCTAGTCATCTCCTGTACTGTCTGCAGTCTCTGGTCATCCCCTGCACTGTCCACAGTCTCTTGGTCATCCTCTGTACTGTGTCCGCAGTCTCTGGTCATCCCCTGTACTGTCCGCAGTCTCTGGTCATCCCCTGTACTGTCCGCAGTCTCTGGTCATCCCCCTATACTGTCCGCAGTCTCTTGGTCATCCCCTATACTGTCCGCAGTCTCTTGGTCATCCCCTATACTGTCCGCAGTCTCTTGGTCATCTCCTGTACTATGTCCGCAGTCTCTGGTCATCTCCTGTACTATGTCCGCAGTCTCTGGTCATCTCCTGTACTGTCCACAGTCTCTGGTCATCTCCTGTACTATGTCCGCAGTCTCTGGGCACATCTCCTGTACTGTGTCTGCAGTCTCTGCTCATCTCCTGTACTATGTCTGCAGTCTATTGGTTCAGAATATTTTTTTTCTTGTTTTCCGCCTCTAAAATCTAGGTGCGTCTTATGGAGCGAAAAATACGGTATATAGCAAAGAGACAGCCCAATCCAGCAAAGAGACATCCCCATAAGTTCATCAAAGAGACAGCCCAATCCAGCAGATGGCCCAATCCAGCAGAGACATCCCCGAATATTGAGCAAAGAGACATCCCAGTTCAGCAGATACATCCCAATAGTTTTAGCAAAGAGACCTCCCCATATATTAAGCAAAGAGACGTCCCAATCAAGCAAAGAGAAATCCCCATATTTTCATCAAAGAGACATCCCCATATATTCAGCAAAAAGACAGCCCAGTCCAGCAAAAAAGACAGCCCAATCCAGCAGAGACATCCTCATATTTATAGCAAAGAGACATCCCCATTTAGCAAAGACACATCCTCATATATTCAGCAAAGAAACAGCCCAATCCAGCAGATGGCCCAATCCAACATAGACATTCCCATATATTCAGCAAAGAGACATCCCAATCCAGCAAATAGACAGCCCAATCCAGCAAAGAGACTTCCCCATATATTCAGCAAAGTGGCATCCTTGCATATTCAGCAAAGTCACATCCCAATCCAGATAAGAGACATCCCCATATACTCAGCAAAACGGACATCCCCATATATTCAGCAAAGAGAAAGACCAATCCAGCAAAGAAACAGCCCAATCCAGCAGATGGCTCAATCCAGCAGAGACATCTGCATATATACAACAAAGAGACAGCCCGATCCAGCAAAAAGACATCCCCATATATTCTGCAAAGAGACATCCCAATCCAGCAAATAGCCCAATCCAGCAAAGAGACTTCCCCATATATTCAGGAAAGAGACATCCCCATATATTCAGCAAAGGGATATGCCCATATATTCAGCAAAGACACATCCCAATCCAGCAAAGAAGCATCCTCATACAATCAACAAAGAGACATCCCCATATATTAAGCAAAGAGACAACCCAATCCAGTGAAAGGCCCGATCCAGCAGAGACATCCCTATATATATATAGCAAAGAGACATCCCAATTGCAATTGTTTTCCCCCTGATGAAGCCACGTGACCCTGTGGCGTAACGTGTAGGGGAGGGGCTCTGACGTCACAACGCCGCGGTGGACGAGCGGCATTTACAAACACAGGATCTGGGCACAGCTCTGTTGGATACAGCTCTGTGGGAGACAGCACAATGTGAGTGGCAACTTATTCATAATAAAAGATTTAACCTCACAAAGGATAAGGCACTATTGTGGCTCTTTCTTACATGGTATCCCAATTTACTGGGAGGAGGAAATACTACTGATAACCATCCCTACTATCCATTGAGGCTCAGTGTGGAAGGAGGAAAAAGGGAGACCTCTGGTGGCAGGAAAAAGGCAATATAGATCCATGGCATGGATGGATATATATACATAATATGAAGATTACTACCTAGTCCTGAGAGGACAAAAAGCGCTGTTAGCCACTGTGTTTGGCTAAATAAGGAGGTGAGCGCACATCTATCTATAGAGCACGGGGAGTGTAGCACAGCACTGAATTTGTCACCGAATAAATTTAAAGTATAAAGAGCACTATTTTTTAGTATTGAATCAGTATTTATTTTGTTGAGCACTATATGTTGCACTGATTTGAAGCACAAAAAGTTTTTTCATAGCACTATTTATATGATCACTTGTATATATGGAGCGCGGCACCTGTATATGTATCTGAAGATATATATATACACATTTTGTTATATATTACATGTTTCACACAGATAATGAGTATTGTGTAAAGTGTTGATGCACCATTTATTTGATTTAATAGTTTGGTAAATAATTTATTGCACAAGGGGAGTATCACATTTTGGCTCACGAGTATTACTATATATTCTGCACTATTTCAACTGGTAATTGCACTGTCATGCAATGCTGCACCCAAACAAAATTATGTCCTTTTTTCACACAAATAGAGCTTTCTTTTGGTGGTATTTGGTCACCTGTGCGCTTTTTATTTTTTTGCTATAACCAAAAAAAGACTGAAAATTATGAAAAAAAATGATAGTTTTTTACTTTCGGCTATAAAGAATATATAGTAAATTCAAAGTTAGTCATAAATTTCGGCCAAAATGTATTCTGCTACATGTTTTAGGTAAATAAAGTCCCAATAAGTGTATATTGATTGCTTTTTGTGAAAGTTATAGAGTCTACAAACTATGGTATAGATACTGCAATTTACATCAATTTTTGCTGTACAGCGCTGCACTAGTTTAACTGATAATTGCGCGGTCATGCAATACTGTACAGAAATTACATTTATGTCCTTTATTCACACAAACTTTCGGTGGTATTTGATCACTTGTGCGCTTTTTAATTTTTGCGCTATAAACAAAAAAAGACTGAAAATTTTGAAAAAAACCCCAAAATGATATTTTCTGTCATAAAAAATATCCAAAAAAAACCCTCAAATTTCATCATACATTTAGGCCAAAATGTATTCTGCTACACTTTTTTGGTAAAAAAATCCCATAAGTGTATATTGATTGCTTTGTGTGAAAGTTACATCATCTGCAAACTATGGTATAGATAATGGAATTTACACAGCTTTTACTTTCTGACTGCCCATCACATTTCTTTAGTTGCTAAAATACCAGGACATTACAAACACCACCTCCAAATGACCCCTTTTTGGAAAGTAGACCCTAAGCTATCTGCTGAGAGTGATATTGAGTCCATGGTAGATTTTGTTTTCCCACAACTGTTTTAAAAATGCCAAAACCTTTTTTTTTTACACAAAGTTTTCACTTAAATGATATATTGCTCACACAAGCCATGAGTATATGTGGAGTTACACCCCAAAATACATTCTGCTACTTCCACCGAGTATGGGGATACCACATGTGTGAGACTGTTTGGGAGCCTAGCCACATACAGGAGCCTGAAATCCAATGACCACTTTGAAAGCCTGAAGGTGCGCAACTTCCTCATTTCACTTCTTCACTACCTATCACGGTTTCAGCCCTGAAATGCCAGGATAGCACCAACCCCCCCCAAATGACCCCTTTTTGGAAAGTAGACACCCCAAGGAATTTAAAAACAGGCATGGTGAGTAGTTTGAAGATCTCATTGTTTCTCACAAGGTTTTGAAATATAAAAAAAGAAAAGAAAAAATATGTTTTTGTTTTCTTTCTTCATTTTCCAAAAAACTTGTGGCAACAAACGAGATCTTCAAAATACTCACCATGCTTCTTATCAAATTCCTTGGGGTGTCTTTCCAAAAAGGGGTCATTTGGGGGGGTTGGAGCTATCCTGGCATTTCAGGGCCTCCAAAACTGTGACAGGTAGTCAGGAAGTGTATTGAGGAAATAAAGCCCTTTAAAAAGCCTGAAGGTGCTTATTGGATTTTGGGGTCCTGTACTTGGCTTGACTGCCAAAACGCCTCTCATATGTGGTATCCCCATACTTGGGAGAAGTAGCAGAATGTAGTTTTGGGGAGTAATTCCACATATACCCATGGCATGTGTGAGCAAGAAATCATTTAGGTGACAATTTTGTGTAAAAAAAAAAATAATTTATTTTGTCATTTTCCAAAAACTTGTGGTAAAAAAATATTAAATCTTCTATTGACTCAACATGTCTTTCAGCAAATAGTTTGGGGTGTCCACTTTCCAAAAAGGGGTCAGTTTGGGAGGGTGGGGACATTTTATGCCCAGCATTAGAAATTTATGCCACACATCACTCACTCTTCTAACCACCTGAAGACTAAGCCTTTTCTGACACTTTTTTGAAAAATCTGTATTTTTTGCTAGGAAATTACTTTAAACCCCCAAACATTTTATATTTTTTTAAGCAGCCACCCTGGTGAATAAAATGCATGCTGCAATTTTTTATGTCACATAGTACTCGCACAGCGATTTTTCAAACGCAATGTTTTTTTAAAAATACACTTTTTTTAGTTTTAATGCACAAAAATACAATATATTAGCCAATTATTTGGTAAAATATAAAAGATGATGGTATGCTGAGTAAATAGATACCAAACATAACATGCTTTAAAACTGCGCATGCCCCATGCAATGACAACAAACTGCATACATTTTTAATATTCATAGGCAATGCTTTAAAAGCCTTTACAAGCTACCATTTTAGATTTACAGAGGAGGTCGAGTGCTAGAATTACTGCCCTTGATCTGATGTTCGTGGCGATATCTCACATGCATGGTACAACCGCTGTTTACATACTGGCACGTGCGCGCGCGAAGGGCGAGGGTGCTTTTCTTTTTTTTTTTAATGTTAATTTGATTTTTTTAATTATTTTTACACTATTTTTTTTATCACTTTTAATGCTATCAGGGAATGCAAATATCCCCTATAACTTCAATGGGCATTGTCATATATTCTTTTTTGAGAAATCTGGGGTCTGTCAGACTTATCTGGGGTTTATTTACTGAAGCTGGAGAGTGCAAAATCAGGCTCACTTCTGCCTAGAAACCAATCAGCTTCCAGGTTTTATTGTCAAAGCTTAATTGAACAAACTGAAGTTAGAAGCTGATTGGCTACCATGCACAGCTGCACCAGATTTTGAGTGCTCCAGTTTTAGTAAATCCCCCCCTATATCTCTCCTCTGCCCTTACATTATCTAATCTCACCAAGATCGGTGTGATCAGATGCTTTCCCAATTTAAAAATGGCACTGTTTATATGCTGCGAAACTGAAGTGATGAAATGATCGTAGCTTTCAATTTCTTAGACTATAGAGATGATTGGCACCATTCCGGTCTCCATCAGCTCTACGGTCAGCTGGCAGAAACACCGGCTGCATTCTTAGGTTCCCCCAATGGCACAGAACTGGCCAAACAGCTTCAAAAAATCAAGGGGAATATTTAAATTTGCTGTTTCCACCTGATTTCTGGGTTGGGCAGTGAATGGGGGAAGTATGAGTGCTGCAGAATTTGTGAGCTACCAATCGGGATTTGCAAGCAAATCAAGAAGGATAC